AACGTGGGTAGGCAGACTGGAGATCAATGCAGTTACCTTTTGGTAACCAGGCGTTGGAAGCGAGTTAGGAACGACGAGGCTGATATCAAATCAACCAGATTCCCACCCGAATCACCAAAAAGGTTAGAACGTCACATTTGGGTGCTGCGACCGATACCAAGTCAGTTGGTCGTCACAGGACGAGACAACACGACTGACGCGACAGGCGGACGTCACGTTTGGAGCAGCGACACCCGAACGGAGCAGCGAGGAGCGAACAGCTGGCGCCGCGGCGAGGACGTCACAATTGGTGCTGTTTGGGGACGTCACAACAGGCGCCGTGGTAGATCAGGATAGAACGTCACAGTCGGCGCTGCGACCGGGGAACGATGTCACAATGGACTTGCGCGCAAAAACCATTGCAAATGTATGATTCTAGTTCCTCCCTCACTACCAGCTACAGGTTCATCAGTAATACGTGTATTAGTAAATTATTATTACTTCAAAACAATTTTTACAATTTAATAAAGTAAATACTTTCTGGCTTTAAATAACTTGGAAAAAAAAACGAATTGATTGCACCTAATCATAAATCCAAATACGTTTACGTTTTTGGATCAACTTTTTAATGTTTCGTATCAAACACTGTACCTTAGGTGTGCTAAAGCAATATCATTTGCCGGGAATAGGTGGACAAAGTTTACAAGGAGATTTTTTTTTGTTGTGCTTTAATAGAAGGAGAGTTTTATTTTGTTTTTTTTTTGAAAAAAGAAAAAAAACAAAAAAAAACATTAATAGTAAAAAATGATAAATTAAGTTATCTCCCTTAGATATGATTAACAGTTCATTTTTTTAAATTGACTATAATGGAGCGTGTTTCATGCGTATTTACAAATAAATTCACCATTATTAATTACATACTTTTTTGTTTGCTTTACGGTACCAGTTTGAATTAAGAATTTTCATTCTCCTAGTCTGGTTACCACCGAAAGTCAAACAGCACATTCTGCTCTGTTAATCAGTCCATAACTGAAAAAAATGGATTCATTCCATCTTCATGGGCGTTAATATGAAGTGAACGTAACAGGACTAATCGGAATTTTAACACAACACGTAAATAATCTCTTGAGATTATCGACTTTCTACTACAGGAGACAGAAATTTAGTTTTTGATTTACATTTGATTCAAATTACGCCTTTCCATTTCAACTTCGGTAGTAAGGGAAATATTTTGATCTTTCAACTGTTGTTTTAATGTCGGTTGCAATGCGAAGTTTGATGGGACCAAATTTTGATTTTGCTGCGTGTGAATGAGTGTATATGTCTGTGCGCAAACGTGCAAAGAAATCGTTAATTTTTGGCTTCTCACAGGTTGCCTGGTTACGAGTTTGCAATCAAGGAACGGCTTTATGCGCTCCAGATCTCAAAGGGAAACCCTATATACACCCCATCGCTAAAGTGGCAGGAAAAATGCAGGTCAGCTCCAGAGATATCTAACTCCTCATTCCATATTCGATTTCTACAATCGCCAGATGAAACTAAAAGTGGCGTAAAACAGCCGTATCAGATGTGTAACTGCTCAGTTATCCCTTTCCAGCATTGACATATTTTAGAAGCTTCTACGTGTCCGAGGTAGTGTTTAAATATTTCTTCACTATAAAATCCCTCTCACACAAAGGAAACATTGCAAAATTCTTGCTATTATATGGCCTCAAATTTACTTCATCAGTTCAAACCTTTACAGCTAGAATTATCCATGTCACTTATAAATGGATTAATCATTCTAAATCCATTCGTATTCGTTGTAAAGAACGAAGATATATCTCCCCAGGAATTACATGTCGAATAGACTCCCGAGAGAATGATTCCCTATAACATCAAGCTTAAAGTCTTCAAGTCTCGGAGCAGCCGTTTTTCACGTTCAGCCTAATTAATTAACCCGCTATATTGAGTGTGTTGTACTGTGTGGGCGGGGAAAAGTGGTCATATGTTTACATGCAGCAGTTGAGAGAAAATCCATTTTCAAACGACTGAGGAATTCGAAAAAAAAGATTATTTCTAAGAGTATAAGTCCAAAATATTAATAAATATTGGTGCTCGAACAAATTCCAATCTGTATACGGAAATTTCATATGATCGTATTTCCACGTAATATGTTTACGTAAAGGTTGTTTCACGAAGTTTGAAACAAAATGATCGAGCACAAATCGAAGACAAAAATGATAGAGTAACGGAAATTACATTTATTGAAAGGGGAAAAGCATACCACTTTATGATCTGCATTTAGTTTCAAACATGAACCTAAAATATCAGGAGGAGCCCTAGAATACATGCTCCAGATGTCCGCCGTTAAGTTGAAAGCAATGTTGAATGCGAATTTGCTGAGTACGCTTGCATATTCCTCATAGGTAATCGCTTGATTCTTCTGAGTGGTGGCTGCCATTAATACAGCAGTGGTGCGAGGGTTGTCCTCGTAGATGTCCGTGAAGAACCCCAAGAGGAAGAAATCTTGGGGTTTCAAGTCAAGTGAGTTTGGTTCTCATTCCACTTCATCTAGTGATGAAATGTTCTGCAAACTTTTCACGAAGCCATGCCATTTAACATCGGCAATGTGAGCAGGAGCAGCATTCTGCTGGATCCAATGTTCCTCCTCATAAATCTCTCTCCGTCTCAGTGGCCTCTGCTTTGTTTCAACAATTGGCAAACACCCCGTATTTTTCCGCTGGTTCCAGAAATGAGAGTTTAAGGCTATGCCAAAACAAGTATTTTAAAATCAGCTAATCTATATCAGTTAAGACAAAAATGTTTCATGGATAGATTTATTCTCTATTTCGAAAGCAATTTTAAGCAGCGAAAAATTTAATTTGATTTCTTTTTAATCAAACCCATAAGCAACGTTAAACGACAGAGCGAGACATACTTGTTTGACATATCCAGATCGTTGAATTAACTCAATAGATATTTACTTAACGACAAGAAAGCGTTGCTTTTAAGCACAGTTTCAAATTTGTTTTTCTCCTTATTTTATCAAACATACAAAATTACATTAAAAAAAAAACAAATAAAATTATAATGGAAATTATACAGGAAAATATTGAACAGACATCTGTTTGTTTTACTTTGTTTATACATTTGCCGTTATTTATATGCTTATTACTCCCCTTCGAAAACCAATAAAACAAACATTAATACTATTACGCTACCAATACTAGCACGACTACGATTATAAAATGAAATATCACAGCTTTTCTCTTATGTAGTTCTTGTTGAACAAAATAGAAATTCAAAGAGCTTGCCTGAGTTAACTCCTCCTTAATATCCTAATTCTCCAAATGGTTCTTAGGAGACGCTATTCCAAAACTAAAAATACTTGAGAATACATCGTTATCTATCTATCTATCTATCTATGTCTCTCTCTCTTTTCAGCCGACATTCCGACAGTACAGGCTCCCGCGGAAGATTGCGTTTTCCCCTTCGTGGGAGGCGTTTTGCGTTTCTCCGGGAAGACGCCATTTACATTACACATACACACACACACACACACACACACACACATTTACGTACGAACATACCTTGAAACACGAACTATTTACGTTCATGCAAACACATGGTACTCTTCAAGCTGACGACCGTATCATTGAAACACACGTTCTTGTACGATCACCGAAGTTAAGCAACGTCTAAACTGGTCAGTACCATGATGGATGACAGTTTGAGAATACCAGGTGATGTAAGCTTGGATATGCGCGTCGTGTAATGGCTCGAAATTTTTTAATCGTAGATCCGAATTCAAACTTCAGTTGATTTCGTTTTATTCCCTTAAGCGAAAATAACCTCGGCAAAGGTATGAATCCAACACTTCTCCCCCAGCTATAGGTTAATTAGTAGCACTAAATCATTATTTTTGCTACAATTCTTACAAAATTGTTTTCTGGCTTTAAATAACCTGAAAAGGTTGAGAAGCCATAGAAAACGAATAGACGAAATCAGTTCATAAATTCAAAGACGTTTACGTTTTTTATTCAACCACTCATGGTCTCGAACCAAATATTCTACCTTAGGTGTGATTACAGGCGTATAAGTTACTTTGAATAGACAGACAAACTTTAATACAAGAAGATTTTTTTGTCGTATTTTAATAGAACGAATATTTTTAACGCTTCACGCTACCCATTTGAATTAAGAGTTTTCATTCTCCTAGTTTGGTTGCCACCCAAAATTCAAACAGTACAGTCTTCTCTGTTAATCAATCCATAACAGGAATTACAACCCTGCCATTTTCAAAGGCGATATTATTATAGAGTAAATATTTAGTTGCTTTTAGTTTTAAGATTTTTCTATTGACTGTAGTGTTTTGAAATCTAACTGTGCACGTGTTAGAAAATTATCACGTTCGCTTTAAGCTGTTTATTTGACTTGAGTTAGTTTCAGTTATTCGTTCACAACAACTATAGCAACATGAGTACCAATGACAGCACCTTTTCGCAGATCACCAGGACTTTTCTCAGTATTCTTTCCGATGCTAGAAATGCAATCTGTATTTTCTGACTAATTCAGTTTTATATTCAGTTTTTCGGAGATTGTCAAAAAGACGCAAAATTGTGAATTTCAACTCTACTCTGCATGTGCCACAGATTATTAAGTTGTTGTTTCTCGTATTCCTTTTTTCCCGTTTTTTTTTTATCTTTACAGACTGGTCCCATGGAATAACCATGTCTACACTCACTATACATTATTATTAGTAGTAGTAGTATTAGTTTCTAAATGATTGATTCGTTTTTTACTGTTTATCAGCCCTTTGCAAATTATTTAAAGCTAGAAGGTATTTTTAGATTGATATATTTTAGTGATTCAAATCTTACCAATTAACCCATATTTCGGGGGGAGAAGAGGTGGATTAACAACTTTCCCAAATATTTCTGCAAGTAAGTGAATATAATGAACTCAATGGGGTTAGAACTAGGCTCTCCAATTAAGAATTTCGAACAATTGCCCATTACACCACCCGCGAATCTAAACTTGTATTCCCAAGCGGTCATCCATCTTAGTACTGACCAGGCTCGACATTACTTAACTTCGACGATCGTAAGAGAACCTGTGTTTCAAATATTAGTAGTAGTCGAAGTAATATGTTCTTGTCTTTGGTCTTTGTTGCATGAGCTACCCCCAAGTTTCAGTCAGAGACTAAAAATGACAAGTGGTTTCTTGTATAAGAAAATGCAGATAAAGATTCATATAACACAAGAGAAAAACATGTAATTGTGGTCATTGCATAGAAAGAAATCTATGCAAGGTCTGAGAAGCACCCATGTGTTTTATTTCTTGTAATTCACATATTTTAGGGCTACCTGGTATTTGTTCCACATATTTGTCAGTCCCTTTGCTGTTGATATTTTTATTATTATTATTATTATTATTATTACTACTACTACTAGTAGTAGTAGTAGTAGTAGTATTGTTGTTGTTTTCGTTATTGTTCCCCGATGTTTCACACGATTCAGAACTCAGGGCACTGACAGTCGATTAAATGTTAACATGTGTTCTCTTTACTCTTTCAACATTTTCGGTATTCCCAGAGTTGGTTATAATGCAGGCATCATGGACTTTGGATTTCAGATAGTTCCAATTAATCAAAAATGTCTTTAGAATTTTTTTTTTTTCAAAATCAGTTTTGCTCCAAATGTCACCTTTATGTTTATATGTTTTCTCACAATGCTTTACTTCCATTATTCTTTTCACTTTGGGATCGACTTGGACTTCACAGTAGGTTTGATATTTTGTAATTACACTGGATAAAATTCTAGTTTTTCATCAAGTCAGTCATGTATTTATTCATACATCACTAGCATTTGGCGCTCAATCGGCTTTCCTCGTCCTTATGCATGTCCGTGTAAAATTTGTCATTTTTGTTTACACAAACAGAATTTAAAGGCTTACACTGAAGATCAAATGACAACTAAGTCTCCAAATATTTCAACGCTCTTCACAGTATTTAAACTCTTTACGTTTATACTGTCTTCTGAATAATCTCGATTCGTCTTTGAAATAAAGTCTTTCCAATTAATTCACAAGCTTCGAGATCGCTCTAATCCCTACAACAAGTATGCAGACATAATATAGCATCACAACTTGTGAAAATTCCTTTGAAACAAGTAATATACTCAAAGGAAAATTCAATTATTAAAATTAAAATAATAATAATAATGATATGAAAGTTAAATACTGAAATTTTCATACTATTTACATTATTCGGACTATTGTCCTCATCTTTGCCGCCATATTTATTACAAGTTTTCGGCCGTTATACGCTCTGGCCATCTTCAGGTGGTTGGAATGTCGAACTGAACCCTTTATTTCGCTCACTTGGGTAGACTGTTCTAGTTCCATGTGCCATGTTTAATGGATGTCAGTTATCAGTTATCTCCTCTTAATTCCCCTCTCCAAGTTCTCTACTGCCTTAACTGGGTAACTAATGCCTTTATCCACTGTGCCATGTGTCCTTAAAGACATTTGTGTATGAATTCCTGGGTATTATAAAACTAATGTCTCAGCAACCATTTTTACCTGTGCTCATATTGCAATTTTTGCTGTTATCATGGCATATTTTTTACCAGAGCTCATATTGTAATTTTTTGTTGTTATTATCGTTTTTCTCTGGCACTCCTCATTACTGGTTCCCATATTGTATTCTTTTCTATGCTTGGTCGGCTCAGAAGATTTTTGTGGCCTAGCATATGTGCTGATTCCTTAAGTTTACGAATTTTCCAATGGTTTCCTTTGTCTATGAGCTCAACCTGATCCCACATAGGGCGGTGATCTCCTTTTTCTCTCCATATGTGGTCATCCATAAATATGACGGTAAAGATGAGGACCATAGTACGAATAATGTAAATAGTGTACATAATACCTCATCTCAGAATATAGACAGATACTGAAATTTTCATCCTTGCAATCATTAGTAAGGAATATTCGACAGTTTAAAAGCTTCTAGAACAATCAAAAAGACATGAAAAATTTAATTTTCTCATAAGAGTTTATAAATTAATTCATCAAGAATAAACTAAAAAAATGCTATCATTGTTTTCTTAATAAAATATTTATAATTCCGCACGAAAGAAATATATGTATCAAATTTATCGCGTCTTAATAGAGGGTGTTCCAATAAATTGGACCGATTTTAAATGTGAATTAAGTTTAAGACTCTAATGATTTTTTTTCTTTTTCTTTCAGATTTAACAACTTAAGTCATTGGCAATTTCAACCATGCATATATTAACAATCAAACAACGTGTTAAAGTTATCGAAGCCTATTATGAAAAAGGTCGTTCAAACAGAAATACATTTCGCGCGCTTCACGATGTTTTTGGTCAACATAATCAACCAAACTAGAGTGTAACTGGATGTAACGTTGTTGTGGAGAAATTCAATGCCTGCGTGCGATGACGAATAGAGGGGTCTGGATTTTCGGCAACATTCTCGTGCACTGATGTTTTTAACTGGACAGCGTAAAACGAGCACGCAATGGTGTTTTTACATCTGTCACCGACCCAGGTTTTTGAATTTACGAACATTTCTCTCTCTCTCTCTCTCTCTCTCTCTATATATATATATATATATATATATATATATATATATATATATATATATATATATATATGATAATAGTATATCATTTTTATATATACATAAGTGTTTTGGAGGTATGGTTTATGACAAAGTCCAAAAAGTTTTAACGCAAAGCGTTACGCCCCTCAGAAATTCATGTTACTATGTACCTTTAGGTTGATGGGACTACTCATGCGCACGTGTGAGAGGTGATGAGAATTTAAGCTTTAGAATGAATTTATGCATGAATATTTGACATTTAACACACACGCAAACGTACACAACAGACATACACACACACATACACATATACATATATATTAGCATGCCCCTCGTATTCGAGGATACCCGTCTAGTAAGGCGGTTAGCCAATCCCTATTGCAGGCGCTCGCTCAGTCACATTTTGTGTTTGCTCAACACCCACAGACCCACCTGTTTTTTATACTGCAACTATGCTGAGAAAACCTTAGTTTCAATTTCTGGGAGAGAGCGTGATCAACAATTTGTACAAGACCAGCAGGTTCAAGTCTTCGGTCATATATATATATATATATATATATATATATATATATATATCAAATGAATGACAAATTTGCAAAACATCTGTTTAACGGTTTTCGCCCTCTAGAATGGCTACATCGGACGAATTTAGATAACGAAACACGTGATGCAGTTTTCTACTTTGACATTGATTTGCTTAAAATTGTTCTCATATATGGAAATTTTATTTACCTACCCCATACATACACACACAGACAGAGGTACGTGCATGTGTGTGTGCATATGTGTGTGTGTTACATCGACCACTGTTTTGTTCCAACCAGCACTATATGTGTGATATTCGATATATATATACACGCAGACACACACACACATATATATATACATACATACATACATATATATATATATATATATATATATATATATATATATATAAAACCGTTTTCTTGCATTCACATTTTTTCTTCGTTTGCTTGTAACGTTTTTGTGAAATCGTATGAATACTTCCATATCTTTTTCCAATCGTTTTGTTACAATTCTTCTCCATTTCTTCATTTACTTGTAACGGTCTGTAGAGAAAAAAAATGGACGATAGTGATTGTCTTTTTTTTTTATCTTCCTTCGTTTTAGCGTTTTCCTCCTTTTCCTCCTTTCTTTCTAACGGCCTCTCAAGTAAATATTGAAGAAATTCCTTTATTTTTTCTATTTTAGTTTCCTCCTTTTACTTTGTTTCTTTCTTGTTTATTTTACTTTATTTCCTTCTTAAGGTCTGTCGACAAAAAATAACAAACAATAAGCAAAAACTAAACACTGAAGCTTTTCCGACATTGTATCTTTTTTTTTTACATTCCTTCTTATTTTCCACATTTTCTTAATTTCCTTGCAGCGACATGGGAGACCAAAGCGAATCATTTCCCATCTCTTTTTTTTCTAATTGTGATTTCTCTATCTTTCTCTCTCACCCCTTTTCTTTGTCATTGTTTTATTTCAATTCACGCTAATTCGTTCATTTTACACATCTCTTCCTTTATTTCTGGTCGCCTTCTTGTGTAATCTCTTATTCTCAACCAGTACCTAATTTCCTCTGACAGATTCTGCCTAATTGAACGAACTACGTTCCGATTCGACCAGACCACATCACACGTAAATTCTTTCGACATTTGCCATTGCTAGTTTGCTCTGTATTTATTTCGCAGTCACCCTTCAACTTTTTTTTTCTTTTAATATTATCTGCTGCATTTCCCGTCATTTCTTTGCCGTCTTTCTTTTTTTCCTCACTTGCCGTGTCCCACCATCCGCCATTTTAATGTTTTCTCTCCGTCCGCGCGCCTCAAGCTCGAAAAATATTTGCTTTTCCCCTTTACAGTTTTATTTTTTTTTTTGTATTTTGTTATCCTTGTTTAATTATTTTCGTTCTTTTCTTATTACAGCTACATTCATTTGCTTTATTCATTTATTAAATTCGATTAGTAACATTTTTTTTTAATTTTCTCTTCCTTCATTCTTTAAGTAGTGTTTTTATTTTTATTTTTTATTTTTGCTTTTTTCCCTCACTTTTTTCTTTCTAAGTTCACAAAAAAGCATTCATTTTTCTGTGTCCCTTTTTCAATATTTGGCTTCATTCTGTTGATATTTTCAGTTTTTATTCAATAATTATATATTTTGTATTCTTTTCCGTTTTACTTTAAATGCTGCCTCTTTTAACTTGATAACTTTCCTTTTCCTTCTTCCAATACATACATATATAATAAATATATTCTCCTATATTAAACCATATTTCCTCCAAGAACAGCCCAAATGATCTCCATGTGTCTCAGATGCGTGACCGAGTCCTCCTATAACCTAATATTACCCGCAACGCTATGTATCAGCGACTAATTTTCACGTCAGTCGGTTGCTTCTAACTAGCTCTGTTTTATAGTTTTTACTCAAAAGACATCATTATTAATTCGATTTTATGTTTCTTTTTTACTCAAGGAGATATTATGAGGAATTG